TGCTGCAACGTGCCGTGAGCTGGCGGTGGGACGCGGTGCAGGACGTGCAGACAACCACAGCGTCGCAGAAGCATGCAGGAGGGCTCCTGCCCAGCCTCCTGCTCAGAGCACGGTCGGACCAGGCTGCTCCGGGCTTTGCCCAGTCAGGTCTTGAAAACCTCCGGGGATGGAGGTCACACAGCCTCTCTGGGCTCCTGTCCCAGCGCTTCCCTGTCCTCGTAGGGATTTTTTTCTCTTACATCCTGTCAGAGCCTCCCCTGTGTCAATTTGTGACCACTGTCCCTCCTGCTCCCACCGCGAATCTCGGCAAAAAGCCTGGCCCAGTGGTCTCGGTAACGTCCCTGTAGGCAACGGGGGGCTGCTCTTGGGTTCCCTGACACCTCCCTTTCTCCAGGCTGAGCAAGCCCCGCGCCCACGGCCTCTCCTCACCAGGCCTGTGCTCCAGCCTCTGAGGTTATGCCGAATTTGCTCCAATTTATCAACCAACATCTTTCTTGTATTGGCTTGGTCAAAAATTGGATGCAATATTCTAGATACAGTATAACGAGTGGCAAGTAAAGAGGAATACTGACCCCCCCCCATGGACTGGCCGTGCCCCTGTATGCACAGCGCTGATGCTGTGCTCGCCCCTTTGCTGCCTGCTCACGTGCCACAACGTCCAGGGCCTTTTCGGCAGAGCAGCTCCCCACCAGTCTGGGCCAGCCTGGCAGACGGGACAGTCAGTCCCTTGTTGCAGGGGGTTAGTCCACCTCCAGGGCAGGACTTTGTGCTGGTGCAGGTTGAATTTCATGAGGTCCCTGCTGGCCCACACCTCCAGCCTGCCGAGATCCCTCTGGATGGCCGCCCTGCCCGCGAGTGTCATCGGCTGCATCTGCCTGTTCAGTGTTGTCTGCAGACTTGCTGAGGAGGCAGCTCTGTCTCCTCTTCCAGGTCATTCATAGGCAAGACAGACCCCTGAGAAACTCTTATTGTCATCACCCTCCAGGCAAAGTATGAACTATTTACTGCTACCCTTTGATCCTGAGGATCCAGGCAGGTTTTCTCTCTCTAGTCAGTCTTGATTTGCTTTCGGTCTCCCTTGGCAGTGCCCACATGGGCGAGCAACAAGGGGTAACAGACTAAGGGCTGGATGAGCCTCAGCAGGCTTTAATATCACTGAACCGCGTCCCAGCACGCAACAAACCTCCTGTGACAGCACGTCTGGCTGAGGGACAGGAGCCTCCGTCCCCCACGGAAGGGGCTCTCCAGCCCTTCTTCTTGGTGCTGATGCTCAGCTTAGGCCCAGCTAGCTTGGGACCTTCCCTTAATTCTGTGCAAGAAACCTCATGGAAATACAAGGCGTGAGTTTCTACAGAGTTCAGGAGCCTCAACAGCTCTGTGCCCTGGAAATGCTGGGGCCGAGTATAATTAATAACAGCAGGAAAAAGGTTACATGAAGCACCTGGGTAGTGTACCTGCACCCAAGCAAATGTTCCTGTCCTAGAACATGCAGCACTCTTCACCAGCGTGGTCTTTATTGGTGATCCACATCCAGGTGCGGGAAGCGCCTGCTTTTGGTGCTATTCCCGCCCGCGCCGGTACTAGCAAGCTGCCTGTTCTAGCTGCTCCTAGTCGTGGCCTGCGTGCGTGGTTCTCACGCGGAAAGAAATCCTCCACTATACTGAAAATGAACCTACCTCTTCCTTATGTCAAAAAGCAGATATGCTTGATGGCACCAATTAATTTTCCAATTAAAGACCTAAGAATTTAACACTTAAGGAACAGAGTTCAGTCTCTGACTTGAGCTCAGTCAGTTGCTCAATACGTATGAATGAACAGAATAAAAATGTACCATTTTTGCATCCAGCTAGGTCAGACTTCTTAAAGCCAAGTGTGTTTATAGGTAAGTCTTCCTTCCATAATACAAATAAATGAAGTTTTTAGAATAACAGATAACAAATTGTCTCCCTTAACTATAGTTATGAAAGGAAAGAGCCCCAACTACATAATCAGCATCAAACTCTTGTTTCATTCAGCATTTCTTCTTGCAGCAGCCTGATTATAGTCAGTGACCTACTTCTCATTCCTTCCTCCTAACAAAACAGTACTCCCAAGGCCTGAAAAGATTCGGGTAACCAGCAGCCAACTGTAGAAATGGAAGCAACCATAAACACAGTAAAACTCAGCAGTTCTTCCTCAGAATGAACATAGCATATTGATAAATAATTCCGTTCTTAGTCTCAATATCACCGCCTACTGATGAACTCATTATAGCAGAAGTGAAGATTGCTGAGGAATGAGAATTTTGCTCATGAAAAAAACGATGAAATGGAGCATTAAAGGGAAAAAGAAGGTTCCCTTTATTTTAGGGGATTAAATTTAAGGTGATGCACACATCAGAAAAGGTTATTAAATGAAAAGAGTGAAGCCATCTTGCAGGTTTACCTCTTTTCTAGGACGTTTTACCAGATGCTCATAACATGTGACACTGACAAATGCATTCCAGCTGAGATAAGATTATGTGGGTCATGCTGAATTTGCAACATTACAAACCACTGTTGGGGATAACACAGCTTCTCTGTGAGGTAATTTACCTTCTTCGGATGAAAAGATAAATGTGAATTAACAGGGAAGAGTCTAAAACATCTGAGCAGTGCTATTGATCTACTAAAGACCTAGATAAGTCACAGAGAAACTAATGCTTGCTTTGCCTGATGTTAGTGATGGATGGGATAGCAGATTGAGCAGCTAAGGGGCTATCACTGTCAAGAAAATCTTAGCACTAAGACTATTTGTTTTTAATTATCTTGCAGTAGCGGGGAAAATACGCCCCTTGGTAGCAGTAGGCAGACGTGGTCTTTTACTTATGACGATATATACTGTAAACAAAAATATTACAAGGAATAAAAATACTCAGTTCTTCAAAAAATACAGCTGTAGCTGATAAGAAACTGTGGTTTTAATAAATATTTAGCTGTGGTATTGAGTTTTCAAAGAATAAAGAGAACTAATGGAGTGTCTCAGGCCCGAAAGGATGTTTGTGGCAAGGACATGAACAGAAATTGGTCTTTCAGGGGCACATGTTCTTTTGCTCTTTGGGCTTCCATCTCTGCTCAGCCCTACCAGTGAAGGGTAAAAGCTGTGAGCTGTGCACGTGAAAACTGACATGACTGAAAGAACACTGCATTTATACCTGCAGCACTGTATGGCATGTATTTTGGGGTAAGATCAGTTCTTCACATTTCCTATTAATATTTATTTAAGTTTATCAAGCACTCACCTACTCTTTTGAGGATTAGACACACAGTTTTTAACTGAATACATAAATTCCAAAGACTTCAAAAAATTTTACTCCACAGTGACATTACAGTCCATTATTTCTTAAACAGAGGGACTTTTGCTGGTTGGACATGAAACAATTGTTTTTCTAGTTAAAAGGGCAGGAGAACACTGAAACAGACTCCTTAGGTAGTTTGTAGAGAGGATCTTCAAGAATAAAAACTGTAGGATAGTGCAACTACACCTGGTTCTGCTTCTGTGCAGGCAGATGGAGCAGACAGTCCCTTCCAGGCTCATGTGTTGACAACATCATTTTTCATCCCACAGTCTCTTACCTCCACACGATCTGTGTCACTTCTTTGTTTCCACAGTAGTAGTGCCAGAACACGTAAGCGCTTTGTGAAACATGCGGACCAAATTCATTTGGACCCTGGAAAACAAAAATGAGGAATCGGGACACTGTTTCTTCATTCACAATATCAAACTTCTTTCCAGATGGCATTCAGCCTAAAATTATCCGCTCAGGATTTGTTCAGGGCGAAGCCTTTGGCAGGCTGCTCCTTTTGCGCCTTCTTTAGGTGCTTCTGTTTCTCTGCAGTTTCTCTCCTGTTCTTATTACTCCAAACAATACTAAGTTCATGGCTTCTGTGTCCCTCCCCAAATGAACCCCCTCTGCCAACATTATTTACACAGCTTCGTGGTTTTCTAAGTGCCCTATATTTCATATTGCCCCTTATTGTTTCCCTATTCTAATCTACAGAGCAAGTAAATTAGATGTATCCTGAATAAAAGACAGCAATTACACCATCAACATCAACCAGGTTTCGTACAAGACCCAACATAGGAGCGTGGTCCGTTCAGCGAGCTAGGAAACGAGCTTTTATAGCAGAGAGAAAGCTCTGAGCTGTCTTGCCAACTGGCTGCCTGGCAAGTAGACCTGTTAGGGTTATGGAGCAGGGCATTTCTCTTGTGCATTTGGCATAGCCTTGCTAGCATTCAGTGATTAAAAACTGTTAGAGAGCCATGTCCACCATGCGCTTTTTAATCCAAATAGCGAGCCCTGGGGAGAATCAAATTGCAGCTATCAGGCACTCTGCTTTGCCTGCAGTCTTTTTTTTTAAGTGTCCTAGACAGAGCAAACATGTTTCTTCTATATAAAGAATATTGTAAAATCGCTACTATAATGACACTTCTGGTTTGCGCACCAAGAACTTTTCCCACTTAATCATATTTAAAAAAAACAACCACAACCCAAAACCAAACAACCCTACACATTAAAACTAAAAAACTCAGACCACATATTCTAACAAAAGGACTGCATTCTTTCTCAAGTAATTGCACAGCAATGAATGTTTAGTTAAGAATATAAATGTTTTTAAGAATGAAAGTTCTGCTTGTAAAAGCCATCTAAGAAAGTTGCATGTAGTTTACTCCGATTTCTAAATGTGAACTTTGGTTTAATTATTTATCAAGAAGTACACCTCACAATAATAAGCCCCATTTGCAGCATTTAATTTGGAAGCAGGAAGATTAAATACCAGACTTGCATTTATCTTACTGCTTCTTTGTCTCTCCTGTGCTGGGTTTGGAGGTGGCATTCGAGCGACCAGTGGGCAACGAACTCGTCTGCAGTTGTGCTCAGCTGAAAGGGGCAAAGGGGAGCGTCTGCGAGGGAAGATTGTCATTTCCCCCAACCCAGCTTTCATCCTTCCCCTGAGCTGCTTTTAACTGTGCCTTAAGCAGTTTTGCCAGGCAGCAGTTTCCTTTTGATTGTTTTGTAGATAATGCATCAGAATGCCACATCTTTGGAAAGGGTATTCATCGTTTCTGAGACTGAACAAGATACTGAGAAAAAAATTATCAAATACTAAACTTTACTCGTCATCTTCTCCCTACTGCAGGCCCCCCAGTAAAGCGTGCACCTAGTCGAGGGAGATTGCACACACTTCCTGGACTGCCTGCTCTCTTGTAAACTCCACTGTTTACAAGATGTTACTGCTTTTTTTTTTTTTTTTTTAACTTAAGTGCAAAAGAAAGCAGCTATAAGTATACTTAGAATAAAGCAGAACTTCTTTCCTTCCTGCAAGATGCTGACAAATTCAATAACCCCAAAGAGTTCGGTTTAAGATTTGTGAGTAATTAAAAAGCTGAGGAACTCTGAAGTGGAGCATAGCAGAGAGCAGAGAAGTAAGATGAAACATGACATTTTCAAATCTGAGAGTTTAGCAACAGAGTATTTAACAAACTAATCTGTAACTGTAACCTTAAGCTACACCATCACTAAACTAATAGAAAGGGCATCTGAAAGGCAATAATAAAAAAACATGCATCAATCCTGGAAAGGGTGAACATAATTCTGCTGCCTAGGTCCACC